AATAAGTAAGCACACTCCTCTTAAGCATTGGGATTACCTTGAGAAAGTTCAAACTGAGCATGAGCAATGTGCACAAAAGCAAAACCCTTGGCGTTCAGCCGAGCTATGTTGTAGCAATCATGTGCTTCATCGGGGTCTTCAATGCTGCAACAAAAACAATATTAACCTCTGAATTATCAATGAAATCTGCATTTGGCAGTTTAAAATACTGTACTGCTACATGTCAACTATGAGTTTTTTGCTTTCATAACAAAAGTAACCAAATAATTATTGAACAAAAAATGAATAATTATTCATGATTTTATATATTTTTCTGGTTCTAGAACATACCTAATGGTTTTAAAGACTCAGCTCTCTGGCAACATTTATTGTCTGTCCTTGAGCGAAAGAATGAGACAAACAGTATGCTACTGTAAACACGGAAGCAAGGATTTTGCAAAACCCCTCAATATTTTTTATAAAATACACAAAACTCTTAAATGTTTGGGGGGGAATCATGAAATTTCTATTTTCACGTTCTTACTGTATATATTCAATCTTTTGACATGCAGGTCTCCAGAGCCATTCATCATTTAATATAGAAAGATGGAAAAGCATCTCATCTATCACTGATGGAGCCACTAACTGCCAATGAGCCTAGCATTCTGCTACATTCCTCGGTGGCTGGCGCAGTGAGGTGGCTCTGTGGCTAAGGATCTGCGCCTGTGGCTGGAAGGTTGCCGGTTTGTATCCCGTGGCCGGCAGAGGAATCCTACTCCGTTGGGCCCCTGATCAAGGCCCTTAACCCCCAACTGCTCCAGGGGTGCCTTATAAATGGCTGACCCGGCGCTCTGACCCCAAGCTTCTCTCTCCCTGTCTTTGTGTCTCCAAAATGCACTGAGCATTCATCTAGCCTTTAAAAACGGTGAACTACTCAGCAGATATGGAGAGGCAGCAATGAAGGAGTAATGGATGTTTTTCACTGATACCACTGCAAAGCACACACACGAGTCTGTGATATGAACCCATATACTTACGCTTTCAATTCTGCAAACTTGACCAGCATCATTGCATAGCTTTCATTGCGACAGTTCTTTTCTACTGGTAGACAAGAAAACACATGACCATAACAGTCAACGAGCTTCTTTAGAAGACATGGATCTGTATGAGGGTTGCCTCTCTTCTCTATGTTTTTTAAATGGGCCAAGCATGATTCGGGTGAGCTGGAACTTAAAATCTGTTTTAAGCTGTCGGTATCATCTAAGGAAGAAAACAAAAGATAAAAGTATTAAGTGACATAGAAAAATAAAGAATAAAAATGAATTCATTAACACTTCTATAAAATCAGATTGAGAAAAAACAGCTTACTTTTTATTAACAACTCTGAGGGTAACTCCAATAATAATAAACTACCATGCATCTGCTTTGCTTTTAAGCTTAATTTGACTATTACTGAGCATTTTTGCAGTCATTGAGAAATGTTTATAATCTGTACGGAAATGCACAAAATATTAAACAAATACATACTATAGTGCAACAATGTAATTACCTTCATCAAAGAGCTTTGATTTAATATTCTTCAGTCTTGCAGAAAGCAAAGCAAGTTGCTTTTGTGTATGCTGTTCATCATCCATGGCTGTAAGTAAAAATAAAATCTGGAATGCTTAGTTACTGTAATAATAACGAACAAACGCAAAAGAAACTTATCGCGCATAGCTAGTATTATCACATCTTTAGAAATGCAAAATAATTTACAATCTACGTTTACTGTAAACCTTGTTTCAGTACAGGTGTAGAAATAGATGCTGAGCAGATATTTATAAAATTCAGATGTTAGGGTGTCCGAAATAGATCAACAGTAGTGCAGCAAAAGAACATTGGAAAATCAAGGCAGTCGTCTATGCCGCTTAAGTGCGATGAGGACTGGAGCAATGTTAAACTCCAGAGAAGCTTAAAAAAAAATAAACACCTCCACGTTACTGTTAAAATTATCCGTGCGGAGTTGTTTGTATTTATACACTAGCACCGAGTATTCACTACCTCACAATTGTAAACGACACAGTACGGTATATGCTGTGAGGAACTGTAAGACAACACAGCTGTAGGGGTCCTCCAAAAGAATGGCCACTTCTAGCTAAAGTCTCCATGGTATCAGTGCAAAATATCACCCAAGTTCACAGAAGTCACAACACAAGCGGGTTAATAGGTCACCTATCATGAATAGTCTCCCGTCTGCCACAGAATAGTCACGCCCATTGTAATCCAACATGTAACATATAAATGAGAGAATGAATTTATCTCTACATATAATCCGATTTAGGTGTAAATAGGTCTTATTGGCTGAGCTCAAGCGAGGAGCGCTAAACTGTACATATTGTGTGTAAACACCTTCTACTTGATCTAACTCGTTTAACCACTCACTCTACTTGCAAAACATTTAATAACAGGCAGTACAGTTCTCTTCGTGAAACCTGCGTTCTCACTGCAAATTTTGTACTTAAATCCAAAATCTTTTAACTGTCATTTAATTTAATCTACACGCTATCTTTGTAAATAGACAAATAATTTATTTTTTTTCCCAAAGAATTTATGATGAGGCTCAAACTGGACTCCGATCACCCGTTCACAACCATACGAGTGTGTGTTTAACCACGGAAAGCATGTGTGAAATAAACCGTCAATTTTGTTTCTATAATTAAACTACTGAATTTTAGCGTCTGCATCAAGCTTATTTAAAAGTTTTTAGCGTTTGAAAGCAGTATTTTCAGACCGGGGGGGATACCCAGCTCTTGTATAAACAAGTCATATGTCAGGAATGTGTGGGTGACAAACCTCCAAAACAGGAGATTTTTTTCATTAAACCGCTTTCGCAATTTTATGAACTTCTATAATTTACATAAAATTTCATTTTTTATAAACGTCTCAGATACGTGGTGATACTGTCACACAATTTTAGAATGATAAAAACATAAATTATATCCAGGTTTTTTAGTGTATTATAATCACTATCGAGCGTTAAGTCTTACTTAAAAACAAAAGTGCACTTACTGGGATTCAAATCTCCAAGAAAACCTAGACATATATAAATGATCGCTTTTTATAGAAAAAGGCGTGTCTACAAGACCATTCAACCGAGTTTGCCGTTATTGTTTTATTTCGCCGTTAGGAATGCTTACGTCCTCGTCAAAGAAACATATCAATATTGGATTTCATAAACTACACATTCCCACGCCTCACCTTAAAGAGGTGAAAAAAAATAAATATAAACAACAAAATACGGCAAAACGCAACACAAAGTGAATGCACTTTGCCCAACCCTTATGCAGCCATTCAAAAAAACAGAACTGCAATCAAAAAGTCTGCAATTTCCATCTCCGCAACCTCCTCAAAACACTGTGCTCCAGAAATACCTCTTGAGGCGATCAATCGGCAGACTTCCTACATTAAATTATATAAATTTGATGGTATATTTCACACATACTTACTGCTCTTGAACATATCTGCAAGATTATCTCCACATGAAGCTGAAACAGCCTTATTGCCACTGTTTTCCTCTCCAGAACATTCAAATTTCGCCATTTCCGTTCAGCACGCTCGCCCATTGGTCAGTTTGTGTCGCTGCGTCATCACAGAGAGGCTGCGCTGTTGCTGTCCTACAGCTTCCGTCTTGGATTTATTGTTACTCTGCCGCCGCCGGAAACTCCTATTTTGAGAAAAGCAGCTTTCGCCTGCAGTTTACATAATTTTGTTCTGTGAGATTTAATCTCCCTCTTACCTACGTACATGGAACAAATTCCCAAAATACGAATACTGAAAGCTCTTAAATCTAATGTACGGATTTTACTAATTCCGAAGCACGAATTTCCACTATTGCTGTAATAAATAATGGAACAAAACTTTTAAGGATAAAGACAAAATAGATTATATTAGTCACTAGGGCCGAATTAGTAACAACAGTTAAAGCTGCCAAATGATGATTTCTGGATCAGAAGTCAAGTATATTGCTACAAAATGTGTTTTATAAAAGCCTTGTTGTTTCAGGCGTCAAAACATATTTAAATGCTGTAACTATGCAACTGTTTGTAACTTATAATAAAAAAGAAAAGGTTAAATAAAAAAATACGAAATCGATGTGATCTTTTGTCCAGGGCATTGAGCTCCCAGGGGTTTTTAACAGTAGCCAATAACCTTATAGCCTTACCTCAGAAGCTAGATAAGACCAAATGTTGGTGCACCACAGGTGGCACTATCCCCCTTGTACCAGTATATTGATGTGTTGTATAGTGGAGTTGCTGCTAGGTAGGTAAGCACTGTACTGTACTACAGTGTAGGGATGAAGTCAGGTTCCTTCCATTTCTAACTGCTCTATCCAATACAGGGTCACGGGGACAAGCAACAGGTGCAAGCCAGGATACTCCGTAGATGGGAAGCTAATCTATTGCAGGGCAAACACAAACACATTTACATTCACACTCACACCAGGGCCAGTTTTTCCAGAAGCCAATTAACATACCAGCATGTCATTGGACTTTGAGAGGAAACCGGAGCACCTGGAGGAAACCCACTTGAATATGGGGAGAACATACAGTACAAACTGGAATCGAAATGCCTAGAACTGAACCCCAGCAATAACCACTGCGCCACCGTGTCAATATTGTGATCCTTTGGAAATGAAAGATATGACAGTACATAAATACCAGGGATAGTTATTTTTGCTTTCGTGGAAAAGAAAGCGCTATGAAAACATACTCCTTTTTCATGTTTTTTCTGGTGACTTGCTGTGTTATTGACATAACATTGACACTGACATATTGACATTATTGACACTGTAAATGGCTGGTATACAAAGAGGTTTTGGATCCTTTGCATTCAAGCTTGCCGGGATGGGCTCCAGCTCCACTATGACCCGAAACTGGAAGAAGCAACTAGGAAATGGATGGAAGGATATATTGGAGATTCTTGGAACTGGTTTTTATGATGTCCAGAGGCCCTACCTGTGACACTTTGAACTAAGATGAGATGAACTTGCAAAATAAATCAGACCGACGACATAAATAGAAAAAGTGGAAAGAAACATTCTGTGTGCATTAGGAATACCTTTCTGGACATTATAACACTTTGCATTTCTGAAATCTTGCAAGTCGATCACTTTGTTAAAGGGTGCTTGGTGTCTTCACAGTGGCTGGTTGTTAATGTTTGATTTCTATGACACCATCAGCCTGGTGTAGATCTTGATCATCAGGTGTTGGATGTGGCTGAGTTCAGAGCCAGCCCCTCCTTCTTCAAGATGACATCTGCACAGCTCTTTGGGGCTGTGTGGGCTGCTGGTAGGGTGTACCAGTCCTCTGTGTGTGGTGACAGGGGGGCAGGTGGTTTATATCCTGTGTTCCCCGGCATACTGTTGCTCAGTTCCCTAGTTCTCCATTTGCTGGGCTATATGCACATCTGGGTATTTGATGTTTCGGGCCAAAATGCGCACTCCCTCCCTGTTGAGATGCACATTGTAACACTAGTGGCCCGTCTTTGCAAGTGGCTCATCAAGTGCACAATGTAGAGGCTAGAGCAGCTGTGGCTGATCCTGCTATTGGCATCCTGGAAGATTTTCAGTCAGATAGTTTGACAGGATAGATAAGGATAGATAAGGACAGGATAGATAAGACCAAATGACTTATTATGTATGACAGGAACAGGGTGCAGAAGGGGATTCTGGCCTCTCTCTGATGAGTGTGCAGGTCATTGCTGCCCATAAGGGTCAGGGAACGTTTGGGGTTGTTGTCGGTGTCGTCCGCTTGGTTATGGTGCACTAAGTGTTAGGAGAGCAGATCTTGAGCATGTAATGTTTCTAGCAATAGATCGGCTTTCTCAGGTATTTTTAATTCGAGTCAGTGAGGATGACAAAATCAGCTGGTGCTCTGAACTACTATATCTGCTGTAGTCTGCAGCTAAACAGTGCTCAGCAAAAATAAGAGCTTTGTCAAAACAAATTAAACTATTACAGGATAAACAATGATTTAAGTGATCATTATGTACAGGCAAAGCAAATGCCTTTGCTGATTAAAGCCAAAGTGAGTTATTTACACAAGGTGTGAATGAAATCAGACCAACATATTTTGGTCTACAGTATGTCAATCCATTCATTTTCAGTAACAGTTTTACAGCTTCAGTACTGCTGGTCAGGAAAGAGTCTGACGATGCCAACTCACACATCTTCTGATACTACTCGGAAAGTGTCCCTGTTGCCCCTTCCTGAGTTCCGCTGCTTCCCAGCATGCTCTCTGCAGCTCCCTGGGTCAAGCACCATACGATGAATTCTCTCCAGCAGTTCTTCGCTTCTGCTCTGTCAATGCTATTGCTCCTCTGCTTTCACGACTCCTGCTTGTAGAGCGCTCTGCTACCTAGGCTGTGGCTTAGAGACCTTTGGACGCAGAATGTGAGGATGTCTGAACTCATCGGCTCCTGAAAGCTGCTCCTACTCCTTGATATCCTCCACCTGCAGACAGCATTGTGCTAGGAAAGAAAGCTGAAATGTAAACAGGAAAACCCAAAGGTGTTCCTCTGTCAGTTCACAGCAATTAATCCCTTGTGTTCACACCATTGTTTGCTATTTGTCCTCTCAACAAAGAGATGATGAATAAAAATGACGCCGACCATTTCAATTCATTGTGTGTGCATCCGAATCTGACACTTTATTTTGTTCTCTTCAGCCCACCTCTATTGTCACATGAATTAGCTCACAGGTTAATTCTTGCTGGCAGGAATTATTCTTAACAGCAAGGTAATAATAGCGGAGTAATGTAGTAATGAAGCAGAGTAATGTAAGATCATTCTAAATGACACGCAACTAACATCTCCGTTGCGTTTAAATCTGTAGGCTCTCATGTTTCAGTCGTTTCATTCCTGTTCTGAACACACACTTGCTGATGAAATGTTTATATCTTTAAAGACAGCTTGAGTGGCAGGGTGGAGCAGTGATTAATTAGAATTGCTGCCTTGCTGTTCACCCTGTCTCCATGTGGGTTTCACCCCACAGAGACATACTGGTAGGTTAATTGGCGTATTAGAAAATAGAAAACTGGTCATGGTGTGAGTGTATGTGTGTCCGTCAGCCCTGTGATGGACTGGCGTCCTGTCCAGGGTGTACCCTGCCTTGTGGCCTGTGCTTGCCAGGACAGGCTCCAGCTCACTGACACTGAATTGGATGAAGGAGTTAGAAAATGGATGGATGGATGGATAAAAATAGCTTGTGCCTTTCTCGATCATCAACAGTGCACTGTTTCGTCACCTAATCTGTCACTTTTAAATTTGTAATTTTAGAAATTAAATCCATAACATCTTAAAGAAAACAGATGAGAAACGACACCTTAATTTTAAAAAGCGAAAACAAATTATCTTGAGTAGTGTAGAAGTGAGTTTCCTAGAGCGTTGGCAAACCGCACTAAGTTTTGTTTTAACATATTTGAGCATAATTATATTTCTCATTCGGGACAGAGATTTAAGGCTACTTAATTGAATCGCTTCATTTTCCCAGTATATTAGCTGCAGACCCTGGTTCGATGCTTTATTCTTACTTTGATCTGGACACAATACGTTCCCTTCTATATGACAGTTTTTCAAGGTCCGTAAAATATGAGCTACCAGCCACTAGGGACCTACACAGCCCTTGCAGTGTCCACGGACAGCAGTGTAAGTGTGAGTGTGAGTGTAGCGATCGGTGTGGATCCTTGGACCACGGCAGCCGTCTCCGGAGTCAGCTACTGTTACCCGCATGCGCAGTGCTCCTCGTCTGCTCCGGTATCCAGGCGCTTGGCACGGGAGCAGCTGTAGTGCATTTGCAAATCCTCCATGTAGGATCTCAATATAGATTTTTTTCTTTTTTTTTTTGCCAAACGCATGGCTTATATATACAAGGAAATAAAATAATATATATTTTTGTCGGTTTTGCAATAAGAAAAGGTTTTAATTATTTTGTTCCCTGACCTTGAATGTCATTAGGAGGATCTTAATTCATTAATAAGGTAAGAAATGCAAGCTTTATCACAGCGGACAGGATTTCACCTTTGCCGTGAAAACGAG